GGGGATGTGAGGCACTCACTTTGGGCACAGAATACAAGTGGATGCCAAAAAGTCAGTGAGTAAGATAACTGATGTTTTCATGTATGTGTGTGTGTGTGTACACACACACACACACATATATATATATATATTTTTTTGAGACAGAGTTTTGCTCTCGTTGCTTAGGCTAGAGTGCAATGGTGCAGTCTCGGCTCACCGCAACCTCCACCTCCCAGGTTCAAGTGATTCTCCTGCTTCAACCTCCTGAGTAGCTGGGATTATAGGCATGCACCACTATGTCTGGCTAATTTTGTATTTTAGTAGAGACGGGTTTCTCCATGTTGGCCAGGCTGGTCCCAAACTCCCGAACTCCTGACCTGAGGTAATCCGCCTGCCTCAGCCTCCCATAGTGTTAGGATTACAGGCATGAGCCACCGCGCCCGGCCTTCATGTATGTGTGTATATATATATATGTATATATATATATACATATATATTTTTTTTGAGACAGAGTCTCCCTCTGTTGCCCAGGCTGGAGTGCAGTGGCGCGACCTGGGCTCACGACAAGCTCCGCCTCCCGGGTTCCCGCCATTCTCCTGCCTCAGTCTCCCGAGTAGCTGGGACTACAGGCGACGGCCACCTCGCCTGGCTAGTTTTTTTGTATTTTTCACCGTGTTAGGCAGGATGGTCTCGATCTCCTGACCTCGTGATCCGCCCATCTCGGCCTCCCAAAGTGCTGGGATTACAGGCTTGAGCCACCGCGCCCGGCCTCATGTATATTTTTTAAAATAAAACTAATGCAAAAAGTCCACAATAAACAGCAATGCAAAATTTTAAAGACAGAATCAGTGTTAGTATTTCACCTTTTGCCTCAGGTTCCAATGTGCTTGGCAGGGCACTGCTTAGAAGCGGTTCTTCTAAATCACCCATGATAGGAAAGGGCAATTCTGGGTCTGAGAATACTCCATAAAAGGAACTGCCACAACATTTGCAGGTGTTTGGTTGTCTCATGACCCTGAGGCCTTGAGTCTGATGTCATTCCATTTCTGCAGCTTAAACCTCAGTCCCTCTTTTGCTGCCCTCAATGGAGACATCCACCCCACTCTCCCAAACAACACAACTGTCCTTCAGAGGCTCAAGGGCAGTTACGTAAGCGCTCCCCCACACATCCCTATACTCATTCCTCTCCCTCTGTAGCCAGCTTTTCATGTTTATTTTTCTTTTCTGAATTCTTAGGAAAGCAAGCAAGTGGAGACCAAGACAGATGCCAAGAATGGAGAGGAAAGGGGCAGAGATGCCAGCAAAAAAGCCCTGGGCCCCAGACGGGACTCAGATCTGGGGAAGGAGCCAAAGAGGGGTGGTTTAAAGAAAAGCTTCTCTAGAGACAGAGATGAAGCTGATGGCAAGAGTGGTGAGAAGCCCAAGGAGGAGAAGATCATCCGGGGCATTGACAAGGGCCGGGTCAGGGCTGCAGTGGATAAGAAGGAGGCAGGGAAGGATGGAAGAGCAGAGGAGAGGGCAGTGGCCACCAAGAAGGAAGAGGAGAAGAAAGGGAGTGACAGGAACACAGGCTTGAGCAGGGACAAGGATAAAAAGAGAGAGGAGATGAAGGAGGTGGCCAAGAAAGAGGATGATGAGAAGGTAAAAGGGGAACGTAGGAACACAGACACCAGAAAAGAGGGTGAGAAGATGAAAAGAGTAGGTGGGAACACAGACATGAAAAAGGAGGATGAGAAGGTAAAAAGGGGAACTGGGAACACAGACACCAAAAAGGAGAATGAAAAAGTCAAGAAGGATGAACCCTTACATGAAAAGGAAGCCAAGGAAGACAGCAAGACTAAAACACCCGAGAAACAGATGCCCAGTGGCCCCACCAAGCCCTCTGAAGGGCCGGCCAAGGCAGAGGAGGAGGCAGCTCCCAGCATATTTGATGAGCCTCTGGAAAGAGTGAAGAACAATGACCCTGAGATGACTGAGGTGAATGTCAACAACTCAGACTGCATCACAAATGAGATCTTGGTCCGGTTTACTGAGGCTCTGGAATTCAACACTGTGGTTAAGGTGTTTGCCTTGGCCAACACGCGAGCCGATGACCACGTGGCCTTTGCCATTGCCATCATGCTCAAGGCCAACAAGACCATCACCAGCCTCAACCTGGACTCCAACCACATCACAGGCAAAGGCATCCTGGCCATCTTCCGGGCCCTCCTCCAGAACAACACACTGACCGAGCTCCGCTTCCACAACCAGCGACACATCTGTGGAGGCAAGACAGAGATGGAGATCGCCAAGCTGCTGAAGGAGAATACTACCCTGCTCAAGCTGGGCTACCATTTTGAGCTGGCTGGGCCCCGAATGACCGTCACCAATCTGCTCAGCCGCAACATGGACAAGCAGAGACAAAAGCGGCTGCAGGAGCAAAGGCAGGCACAGGAAGCCAAGGGAGAGAAGAAGGATCTGCTGGAGGTACCCAAGGCCGGGGCTCTGGCCAAAGGCTCCCCAAAACCTTCACCTCAACCATCTCCAAAGCCCTCTCCAAAGAACTCACCCAAAAAAGGGGGTGCTCCAGCTGCCCCACCTCCCCCTCCCCCTCCCTTGGCTCCACCCCTTATCATGGAAAACCTGAAGAATTCACTCTCACCAGCTACCCAGAGGAAGATGGGAGACAAAGTCCTCCCTGCCCAGGAGAAGAACTCCCGTGACCAGCTATTGGCCGCCATCCGCTCCAGCAACCTCAAGCAGCTCAAGAAGTTAAGTAGTTGTTGGCGTGAACCAACAGGGCAGGGCTGGTTAGGGCCTGGAGGAGAGGGCAGGACTGCAAAAGGGAAGGCATGCAGAGGAGCTCATGTCGGCTGCAGATGAAATAGACTCCCAGGGCCCATAGGGAACTTCAGGTCATCTTATGCATCCTTCTGCCTGCAGGCAGGTCACACTTGTACATTCCCTAGAGCTGAGACTCTACCCTTCCTTTAAGGAGCTTCCTTTAGCCCCTCACTCCATGCTTCTCTTTCATCCTGCAGTGAAGCCTGTTTCTCCTTAAAATGGAGAAATGGCCTCTACAGAGTAGTTTTGCCTCGGGTCCTTCCTTTAAGTCTTCTCCATTTCCCCAAACAAAAATGATCCATGTTTTACTTAGCCTCCTCTCAGGACAAGCCGAGTCCTACAGGTCAGTCCATCCGAAAGGTCTCTGGGAGACTCACCTCTCAGGAGAGTCTACCTTTGCCTAGCCAGTGCTATGGACACAGGAGCCGTCCCTGGACACCCTACTTCTCCAAGCTCTGCCTCCCCTGGAAGTCTGGCCTGGGTGACAAAGTCCATGATCGTTTGTCCATTTGGCTGGATACCCAACCACCACAACATCATCTGGGACAAGATATCATGAGATAAAGGACAATTTCCATTGTAATTCCAGTGGTCACTCGATGACATCCAATTTTTACAGACAAGGAAAAATGCTCCTTCAGTGTCAACACCTCATTCACATTCCACAGACATAACATATTGCAGTGTCTCCTGTGTCCTTCCAGTAGGGAGGGAGGTGAGGTGGCCGAGCTCCCTTCTCTAACCTGTCTCTACTTTGCCCCTACAGGTGGAAGTGCCCAAACTGCTTCAGTAGGACCAGGCTACCAGGCACCATCTGCCAATGCCATGACTGCTCAGGCCTCACCTCCCAGGGCTACACAGACCCTGCCCACCCCGTCCCTGGCTGACCTGCTGTGGATGTCCCTATTCTGCCATGGGACAGTCAAGGCCTGGGTCACGCTCAAGGAAGGATGCCTTATCTCTTCTCGCTTTCCTTTTCTTGTCTCTGAGGCTCTCCAAATTTTGCTTTAATACCTGGAGCTCAGGTTTCCGGACAAGAAGAGTCCTTTTAGCACATCGCTGAGAAGATGGCACTGTCCAGGGTCCATGTAGCTGGCAAGCTGCAAAAGACCTGTGATCCAGGAAAGATGTCCCACAGGGACCACATCCACCCCAGCCCCACTGCCCTCTAGGGCCAGGATTCAGGCCTCTGAGGAGCCCACGGGGCAAAGCTGCTGGGCCAGTGGCACTCTGTGTGGGACAATGGCAGAAAGATGGAGAGGCACGGGGGCACAAAGGGGAGCATGGGGAGGGGCTGAGGATACCCCAAAGTCCAGGCTAATCAGAGGATGTGGCAGGGGCAGTGGCCTGGATGGACAGTGCCTGGTGGGAGTAGACTCCAGACAGGAGGAGTGGGACAGACAGCAGCTGGACTTGAAGGTTTGATGCCAAAGTAGACATTTTCCTCACACCCACCTGCTGCTGTATAAATAGCTGTGTATCTGTTTTTCCATAAGATTTTGATAATATATACAAACCTTTAGCTGTGAATGGCTGTGTCCCACCTGTTGTCCTGAACTGTGAGTCCTGATCCTAACCCTGGGCTCCCTGGAGGACTCTAGAAGCTGAGGTTCCCTGCCATGCTATTTGAGTTGGCCATGAAATAAATTCACATCCTCAGAAAGTGCAGCATGGAGGAAAATCTGAACTCTGAGCAGAGGACTCTCCACTGACCTGGTTGTTCAGGTCTAGAAGGCCAGGCCTCTACTAGGTCTGCTCCTGAACCAGTCCTGCTGCCTGGAGTCAGTAGCCAGAGCTGTTCTCAGGGGTGCTGGGGCAGAGTGGAGCGCAGGGCGCTGGGATGGCTATATTAGGCATGTTTAGGGATGCTCATTCCATGACTCTGCCTAACCACAGGCTCAGGGCCAGGTCCTCACAGCAGTCACAGGCCCAGGAAGGCAGCAGGCAGAGAAGTGGAGTGACTATTTGGAGAATAGCACCCATACCTGTGTACCCTAGGGCTCAGAAGGGCCTCATCTTCCCCAGCCCTCCCCATCTACTCACCAATTCCGCTTCCTGCCCCAACTGCAGGAATGCTGACAATGCTGCCATGTCCACCATCGTGTGTAGATGAAAGGCATCTTTCTGAATTTCATTCTCTTGAAGGTGCTGGCACCCCTTGGCACTGTGGAACTGCCACCTTGGGTCTGTGTCACTTGTAGGTTTCTCTGCCTCCAGGTTGCCTCAACAGCAGGAGGCACAGCAGTTTCACCATCGTTGAGGTGAGGGTGGGCTACCCCAGCTAGGAAGCAGGATCACTGTGCTAGGTCTGCCCAAAACCAGAGGGCAGTCTAGTCCTGGGATAAAGCCCTCAGATCCCAGGGCACACTCTTTCCCATTCCCTCCACCCACTTGCCTGTCACCCCAGTCACCTAAGCAATCACTGGGCCCAGAGGAGAGGAGACAGACACACACTGGCTCCTAGACCTAAAGGGTATGAGCTGGAGCTAAGGCCAGCTAGAGCTTCCACTGTCAGCCCCCACTGTCAGCCCCACTGCATCCCCTGGGCCTGCTGGGTGCTGGGCACTAGCTAGATGCTTTAGGTTGCTTCAGCTGATCCTTCAACTCTGTGAGGTGGATACCAGTATTCTATTTTGCAGATAGAGTTTGGCCCAGAGAGGTTAACTAATATATCCATGATCACACAGCTAATAAAAGGCAGAGCTCAGGTCTTTTTTGTTTGCTGGTTTTGTTTTGAGCCCAGGTCTTCAGGCCATAGAACTGCTTCTCATTAACAGCTCTCCTCCTTCCCTCACTGAAGTAAGGCTGTGACGGTGCTGCAGGAAAGCACTGGACGCTCACCTGAACCCAACCTACCTCCAAATCTTAAGGCTCCAACACCTTAAAAAGGTGTCACCTTAGGAAGCCCTTTCTACCAAACTTCAAACATGATTTAGCCAGAGAGAAAAACCACTCCCTACTGTCCCGAGCAACAAGTGAGCGGCGCCTCCGCGGTGCTCCTGCGGGATGCTGTTTCTGCCCTGGATGATGTAATCATTCCTCTGGTGCACTTGAACCTGGTGCGGAAGCGCAGCGCCACCTGGGGGTGGACCGCAACCCAGATTCTCCGGCTGCTCCAGGGACGCCCTGGAGCTGTGCTAGGGACCAGGGGGAGGGAGGCAGTTTGAGGGAGGAGGAGGAAAAGATGGGTAGATAGCCTGGTGAGCTTCGGAAAAGGGGCCCGAACTCCGGAGGCTGCGTTTCTGCTGGGCCATGCACCCACTGCTGCCCACCTGCCCCACCAGCACTGGCAGTCACCCATCTATCCAGCTTCCTTTCCTAAAACTTAGGGGGGAACATCCAGAAAGGCTCTATCCTTGTCTGGTGCCCGTACGGTACAGGGACAAAAAAAACAGGTTCAAAGACAGCAAATGACTTGTCCAAGTTGATGAATCCGGATTTGAACCCAAGTCTCCTACCTTTGGGTTCATCTAGCAACCTGGATGAAGCCACGGTCTGACCTCCACAGTCTCTGCCTGCAGCCCCCACTGTCATATCGTCCACTCTGTCCCCCCACCCTCCATCACTTCCTGGGGAATCACATTCCCTAGCTCCTACCCACAAGGAAGGGAGGCTTCACCTCTCAGCTCTCCTGGCCTGCAGGGCCCAGCTGTTGCACCCCAAGCTTCTTGCCTCCTGGCCCTATCCAGATGGGAAAAGTGTATTTCCCTCCACCTTCCCTGGGCCACCCCAAGGGATGCCAGCACTGGGACCTAGGCCCTGGTGCTGGCTGTGGGTGGGATGGTAGGCACCAGCAGCTGCCAAGGTGCTGGCCTCACTTGTCCTCACAGAAGCTCAACCTGCAGGTGAGCAAGGGGCTGTAGGCCTGGGCACTGTAGCACACATACGGCACTCTTTAAGAAACATGAGATCTGGATGTAGGTCACCCATGAGCTTCTGGACCACCAAGTCGGGACTGCCATGTGCTGTCCCCTACTCTGCACCCTGCATGGCCAGGCTGGGGCCCCTGACTTCTGAGTTTGGCCTGACTAGGGCTTGTGTCGCTGTGGTGCTGGGCTAGGCTGCTGGCCTAAGAGTGGCCAATAGAGTGTGGCCCCCCTCAGCACCCTTCCCTCAGCACCTCCCACTCGTCCTGCCTATGCCCCTCCTGCCTCTCCCTCCCTCTTTCCTCCAGTCCTCTAGGGCCCTTCCCTTACTTGCCCCTCCCTCCTTTACTCCTTGCCTGAAGTGCTGCCCTTCTGTTCACCTAGGGGGAAGGAGGGAGGCCCTTCTCCCCTCCCCCAAGGTGTCTCTCCTTTCTTGCCAACCTTTCCCCCCCTGCCCATTGTATTTCCATGTGTCCCTGCCCTAGCTCCTTCCCTGCACCTGACCCCTCCCATCCCCCTGTGAGATCCCTTCCTCCTGAGCAGGCCCAGCCTGGCAAGATTCCTGCCCTAAGAATGCACTCGTCTTGCTTTTGTCTAAAAATGCCCCTCTTCTCCACCTATGCCTTCCAGACCGCCCCTTGCAGGATTCACCATTCCCTCCCAGCCTGGCAGGACTCGACTGACGCCACTGTCAGCCCCACTGCACCCCCCTGGGCCTGCTGGGTGCTGGGCACTAGCTAGATGCTTTAGGTTGCTTCAGCTGATCCTTCAACTCTGTGAGGTGGATACCAGTATTCTATTTTGCAGATAGAGTTTGGCCCAGAGAGGTTAACTAATATATCCATGATCACACAGCTAATAAAAGGCAGAGCTCAGGTCTTTTTTGTTTGCTGGTTTTGTTTTGAGCCCAGGTCTTCAGGCCATAGAACTGCTTCTCATTAACAGCTCTCCTTCCTTCCCTCACTGAAGTAAGGCTGTGACGGTGCTGCAGGAAAGCACTGGACGCTCACCTGAACCCAACCTACCTCCAAATCTTAAGGCTCCAACACCTTAAAAAGGTGTCACCTTAGGAAGCCCTTTCTACCAAACTTCAAACATGATTTAGCCAGAGAGGTCCTGAGGTCCCCCAATCCTTGAGGGACACTGCCCCTCCCACCCTCACTTCTGCCTGCCCTTATGGGGTCCCTGATTGGCTTTCAGGGGTGCTAGTTGAGGAACAAGGTGATCTGGAGGGGCAACTACAGCTTTGTACTCCCTTGGCCCCGCTGGGCTCCCCTTGTTTCCCAGATGATGAGTCAGATGAGGTGGGGTCAGAGGAGACTGCAGTGCTTTGGGAAGAGATGCAGGGCTGATTGCCTCCATTTAAAGAACTCTAGGATATGTGAGAGACCTCGTCACTGCTCAGAGCACGTGACAGTCCTACTTTGTTGCAGTTTTCTCCTTTTCTTCGAATTCTCTTCAGTGTTTTGCGGAGTGAATTGACTGGAAATGGGGCAACCCCACTCTTCCAGTCTCAGTTATGGCTGGGGTAAACCTGCCTCCTATCCCAGACTACAAAGCATTTTTTCATTGACACCAGGTTGTTGATTCAAGGATAATTAATTCTGACTGGCATCACCTTGCATACATTTCACATCATTTCTCAGAGAAACTCAAAAACCTTAATATGTCCATCTCTTCCAGCTCTCAGCTTCAGGAGAGAGGAGACTGGACTCCAAACCTCAGAGGGCTTGGAGACCCTCTTTCCTAAATTGTGAAGCCAGGGACTCCAGGGCTCCAGCCCCCACCTCTTGTCCCCACCCTCAAAGAGAAAGTGGATTTGTACCTGTGGCCTCAGCCCTGTCTCTACCAGCATCAGCAGCCCCTCCCTGTCTGGGTCTGATCCAGGGGCAGACACATGGGCCTCATAGATATTTCAATGGGAAGGGGAAAGCTGTGAATCTAGGGGCAGGGCTCTGCCAGGGGAATTTCTGACCCTGGCCCCAAAACCCTGGCTCAAGAGTTCTTGCCTTCCAGGCTGCATGACAAGGGATAATCCTCAAGATTATGTGGGTGGCAGAAAGCCACCCCAGAAGTGCTGGGGGAAGGGTGCTGAGGGGGGCCACACTCTCTTGGCCACTCTTAGGCCAGCAGCCTAGCCTAGCACCACAGCAACACAGGCCCTAGTCAGGCCAAACTCAGAGGTCGGGGGTCCCAGCCTGGTCATGCAGGGTACAGAGTAGGGGGCAGCACCCTGCATGGGGGCATGGTCAGCACAATGGCCCTACCCAGAACCCAGCTGGGCTGCAGGAGCCCAGAGGTCTGAGGGGGCAGGGCAGGAGAGCAGAGCCTGAGGCTGCTGTGGGGCTGGAGTACCTGTGCATGGGGAGAAAAGGAGGGCTGGGCTTAGAGGATACTTGGATAAGGGGCTTGGGGAGGGGAGGGGCTCCTCACTGGTGGGGCTTTGCCAAGCTGAGCTTACACTTTTTTTTTTTTTTTTTTTTGAGACAGAGTCTTGCTCTGTCACCCAGGCTGGAGTGCAGTGGCCGGATCTCAGCTCACTGCAAGCTCCTCCTCTTGGGTTCACGCCATTCTCCTGCCTCAGCCTCCCGAGTAGCTGGGACTACAGGCGCCTGCCACAATGCTTGGCTAATTTTTTTTTTTTTTTTTTTTGAGACAGAGTCTTGCTCTGTCACCCAGGCTGGAGTGCAGTGGCCGGATCTCAGCTCACTGCAAGCTCCTCCTCTTGGGTTCACGCCATTCTCCTGCCTCAGCCTCCCGAGTAGCTGGGACTACAGGCACCCGCCACTTCGCCCGGCTAGTTTTTTGTATTTTTTAGTAGAGACGGGGTTTCACCGTGTTAGCCAGGATGGTCTCGATCTCCTGACCTTGTGATCCGCCCGTCTCGGCCTCCCAAAGTGCTGGGATTACAGGCTTGAGCCACCGCGCCCGGCCGAGCTTACACTTTTCCCACTTGAATTAAAAACAATAAAACTTCCTTCCCTGGATCTGTCACCAGACAAGTCCTGAGAGCACAAGGACCATGACCCCAGGGAACAAGGAGATGGAAGACAGCCAGGCAGCTCCAGAGGTGGGAGGCTCTTCTAGGCAGTATTTGTGGGAGGAGAGGGAGAAAAGGTCACATGCCCCACTGCGTGGCTCAGCGGGGGTCACAGACATGGGCCTGGGGACTGGGATCCAAGCAGCTGACAGAAGCACCTTGCACCAGGTTCTTGGGTCACCCAGTGTCTCTACCTGGCTCCTAGTCCTAGGACCTCTAATCAGGGAGGAAAGGACAGGACTAACAGTTTAATGTACATAATATTTCACCCTCCTGACAGCCATGGGGTATTATACCCATTCGATTTATTTATTTATTTATTTAGAGACAGATCCTGGTTCTGTCGCCCAGGCTGGAGTGCAGTGGCACAATTTCAGCTCACTGTAACCTCCGCCTCCTGGGTTCAAGTGATTCTTCTGCCTCAGAATCCCGAGTAGCTGGGATTACAGGTGCCTGCCACAATGCTTGGCTAATTTTTTTTTTTTTTTTTTTTTGAGACAGAGTCTTGCTCTGTCACCCAGGCTGGAGTGCAGTGGCCGGATCTCAGCTCACTGCAAGCTCCTCCTCTTGGGTTCACGCCATTCTCCTGCCTCAGCCTCCCGAGTAGCTGGGACTACAGGCGCCCGCCACCTCGCCCGGCTAGTGGCTAGTTTTTGTATTTTTTAGTAGAGACGGGGTTTCACTGTGTTAGCCAGGATGGTCTCGATCTCCTGACCTCGTGATCCACCCATCTCGGCCTCCCAAAGTGCTGGGATTACAGGCTTGAGCCACCGCGCCCGGCTTTTTTTTAAATATTAGCAGAGACAGGGATTCACCCTACTGGCCAGGTTAGTCTTGAACTCCTGACCTCAGGTGATCTGCCCGCCTCGGCCTCTCAAAGTACTGAGATTACAGGCATGAACTACAGCGCCTGTCCTATCCCCATTCTATAGATGGGGACACTGAGGCTTGGAAACCTTGGGAGACATGGCCAAGGTCAGAAAGTGGTGGGGCCCAGAATGAACCTAAGGGTACCTGAATGAGAACTGCCTTTGTACAGTTAGCAGTGCCTCAGCTGCTGTAGAGCTGTTGATCCCTAGCAGGGAATATCTGTAGTGCAAACGAGCATCTCTTCAGAGCCATGGCGAAATTTACCTCATTGTCTTTAGGAAGCAGCCCAGGAACAGTCTGCCTTGGTCTGCGTGTGGATGGGGGGGAGGATGGTGCTGTGCTCCAGTGCTGGTGCTGGCCCTCCCCTACTTTTGGTATATGGAGTGGGCAACAGTCTGGGCCCAGCTGAAGGTGGTGTTCCTGGAAAGTGTGGATGGGTCCAATGATGCGACTGATACGAGTTACGTCTTTACAGCTTTAATCCAGCAGGCCAGAGATCTGGCCAGTGGGGCAGCCAGAGAGGAGGGCTACTGCCAGCTGCTGATGGAACCTCCTCCCTGCCCCCACCCCAGCCCAGAGGGGACAAACAGTAGGGCCCCAGCCTTCCTGGCTAGGATCTTGGGAGCAGAGGGACTATTTGACAACAGGCACTGTGACCCAGGCTGTCATCTCCCTCCCTTGCCCCCAGTAAAAATAATCCCAAGCCCTCCCCCCAACCCCTCATAGTTCTAGTTCAGCTCCTGTTCCACTTCCCTGGGGCTCTGTCCCCAGTAGGGCCCAGGGCTTGGCTTAGTCTGGGGCCTGGTGACTAGAGGACTCCTGCCCACCCCCAGGACCAGATGCAGGTACAGGATGAGGGCATCTCCCAAGGTTGGCATCACTGAAGGGGCAGCAGAGACATGGCTGGTTCCTCAGGCTCCCGGGTAAGAGGGCTGTGGTGGCATATAGGGAGGAGGAGCTGAAAGCCAAAGAGACAGGATGAGGGTGAGTGGTGGCATAGGTGGATGAAAAGTAACCCCCCTACCCCCAGGGCAGACAGGACCCATAGGAAAGAGTGGGCCTGGAGGTTTCGGGTTAGAGGTGAAGAAAGTCTGGGAGAGGCAATCTGAGAATGAGAGAGGCACAAGGAGGGTCGCAGGGCAAGGGGTGGGGGAAGGCAGCAGCAAGGGGCCCCAGATTGCTTACTTACCTGCAGGGTTGTAGACTGGGGGCCCAGCTGGGTAGAGTGGATATTGGGGAGCAGGACCACTAGGTGGGTACATGAAGCCAGGTTGTGGGGGTGCAGGGCCAGCTTTGGGGTCCTGGGGGTATGGGTATACTGGCTGCACTGGGATGCCTGTCATTGGAATCTCCTGGCCTAGGTGGGGGAGAAGGATCAGCATTCAGAGACCCATCTCCTATGGGAAGCCTCCTCCTCCTGCCCAGGAAACCAAGGTAAGCACCCTGGTGCTGGCCTCTGGCAAGCTCCAGGCTGGCCATCTTTTCCTCCCACACCCTGCTTGGCAGATTTAAGCAGGGAGCTGTGCACGTGGCCCCAGCTGGTCAATCTGTGTTTAGCAAGTTTGCTCCCCTCAGCAGGTTTCAGAGACCTTATGAACCAGGGAGCACAGCCCAGGGAATATCTCACTTGGGCAAGGAGAGGACAGCTCCGGACTGGTATCCTGTAATCCAGCAGAGCTGCCACTAAGGGGGTCTTCTCCTAGCCCTTTCCGCCCACACTGATCTCCCATATGGCACCACCGTCCCCATGTCCATCAGGTTGTGGCATATGTGCATCACATGCCAACACTCAGGCACATATTCTGCCATCCACTGCAGCACACTCAATTAATGTTCATCACTACAGACCTGACCCCATGTACTTACTAAGAGTCATGTGCACACATACACCCACTCACCCACTATTGTTGACAGACTGCATTCCTGTATACATTTGAATCTTCATGTGTATGCACAGAAATGCACACACAGTCTGATGTTCCATATACCCCTGGGCACATTCTAATAGTCAGGTGTTTACAAGCATTTTTCTGGGTTTTCATGCTGGCAGGTGTGTGTATACAGAAGTACGTACTACTACAGAATTTACCCAATCCATGAACTTTCCGCTGCCCATTATGGGACTTAGCCCAGCCCATATGAGGCTCGTCTTGCCCAGTACTGGGTGTACCTTCAAATGGGCTCTGGAGTTGCTGGCGCCGGCGGTACAGGTAGCAACAGGAACAGAGGAAGCAGCAGATGGTGGTGGCAACCACAGCAACAAAGAGGATCACAGCTGAGGCGATGCCTGCTATGGTCTTGGGACTTTAGACAAAGAACAGGTCCTCTCACCTTCCAACACTCACAGGAGGGAGTCCTCATTATGCTGGCTCCAACTCCTGGCCAGCAGGGGGGCCACGGCATGCTGAGATTTGGGGTTCCTTGTGGGGCTCTGCCCAGTCCCTGTGAAGGAGATCTTAGAGGACCTCCACTTCCCAGAAGGCTATGCTGCCTGGCTGGCTAGTGTGAAGCATACGGGGATTTGCAGTGCGCCCCCAACCATTGCTTTTATATCTACAACTTAAATGATTTGACATACAGCATAACACTGAAAGGAGCCTTATAAATAATCTAGAGCCACTTTTTCCAAACCCCACTTCAATCAGAAGTCTCTGTATCTATTTTATATATGATATATTTTAAAAAGTTTGACAACCACTAATTTGGCAAGCAATGACCCATAGAAGGCAAGTGTCTTCTCCAAGATCACACAGCTAGTAAGAAGTGGACCTGGGAATCAAACCCAAGTCTCCGCCTTTGTGCCAGAGCTTCTTCCACAAAGCCACACTGTCGTCCAGGTGTTAACCCTGAACCCTGCCTCCCCAGGACCTAGCAGGACCAAAGGGAGGGCTCCAGAAAGAACCTGGAAACCCCTGGCCCGGCCAAAGCCTATGAAGGTAACTAACATGCCTTTTCCGGAACTCCCAGGCACCAGCACCTAAGCACCTAGCTCTGCCGCCAAGCTGGAGTCCTGGTGACTCCATTCAGCTAAGAATGTGGAGGTCGAAATGGAGAGGAGGCAGGAGTCCGGGAGGGAGGAAGGGGAGGCCTCTGGAGAAAAGGATGGAGGAGGGGGTGAGAGTGGGGACGCAGGAACCCACCTGAAGGCCAGGCAGTGCT